TTTTTAGCAGGAGCCGCCTTGCACCAGTTTTCCGGAGACGAGTAAATCAGCGATGGCATCCACTTCCGAAATTGGACGGATGAGCACCGATCAAGTGAATGCTGCATTCGCTGAATTACTTGTAAGTCGTAACAGCACAATTACATCGAAAAAATAAGAAAATATTTAAAAATTCGTAAAAAGAAGACAAGAGAAAGTAATATTATTGAATTAGTAGAAGTAAAACATAATATTTTAATGGTAAGAAATGTTTCGGTCCATTAAGTCGAAAAATTTCTGATCTACGGAAATATGCATTGCTGTTACTTTAATTAACTGTTATTTTATTATAATCATTAGTATGTTAATCCTGCCTTTTCATGGGTGCTTTGGCCGAATCTGCATTATCAGGTGTTCGGGCTACTGCTGGTAATCATAGTATTCGCTTCCGAATTTGCTGTTTCGGAAAGAAATGCTAAAGCACACCAGAACGCTTTTCGATTCATTTAAAGTTTTTTCTGATATAAATTTTATCCGTCAAGCAGAACACATTCCTAGTTTTTACTCGAAAGCAACAGTACAGGATTAATGCACTAATTTACAACTGTTGATGGAAAAGAGGCATTGATTTTTTCCGAGTTTTTATGCGTTTTTTGCAGTTATGCAATGCAAAAACGCATATTGACGAGGGGTTGTCTGTGTGTCCGTGTGTCTGTGTGTGCGTCTGTCACGCACTTTCATCTCAAGACCTATAAAAGCGACAAATAGCCAGTGCCGTTAGCGACAAAAATCTGCGGGGAGCTACGCATAAAACGCATCTTCGCATGGGCAGCCCGTGCGTTGGCCAATTATTATATGTTTGCTTGGTGGGAAGGCGAAAAAAGTGATGATAATACATTAGACAAAGTAACGAAGTGTTTATTTGTTTTAATAATTACGATTCTTTTCTCACAGATCTTCATTTTCAGAAACAAATGAATATAAAAGGAGAAAAATTCAACGCTCTTGTTGCGGATAATGATATTGAAAAGAAACGTCAGATGGTGTGCCAGTCGCAACGATTAAATCTCGCCACACAAGAGAATTCCAAGGTTCGTTTTTCGGGATATTTGTTTAGCCAGAAGCCTTTTTTTGTCTACAGAGCTTTTATCGGGGATATCTCTCTTTTTTCGTTCTTTTTTTCTTACCCGATGATTGTCAACTGTTGTTGATGTTAAGACGCCATCGGATCTGATTCGACGCACAGAACGTGTGCTGACGTCGGGCGAGGAACGAAAGCTTATGAAGGATGTTCTGAAGGATTTGAAGGTGCAGCTGAGTGTCCAGAAAGTGGATTGGATAAAAGAGGTTAGATTGAGTTCTTTTGCCTGATAAAAGTGATGATTGGAGGTGTAATAAAGTTTTCCGACGACTTAGACAATTTTTGACCAAAAATAATTTGTGCTAATGCCAGCTAGTGTTATAATAATTATTTATTATTGAGTTCGTTAATTATTTGATATTTTATTGCTAACAGGAGCAGTGCTAATAGATGCTAACATTATTTTTTTTGAAAAAAAGTTTGCCTAATTTCTTTTTTTTTTGACATTTTTTTTACCTAGTTTTACTCAGTTACTTAGTTTTAGCTTACTTAGTTTCACCTAGTTCTAAACTTTTATCTAGTTTAAAGTCTAAAAATTTTTGATAAAACCTCGTCCTTTTTTAAAAATTTAAAAATTTTTGAGAAATTTAATCACTTAGAACTAATCTAAGTAACAGTAGGTTATCAAAAGTAAACACACTCTACTGGGGCTGCGGATGGGTCTCTTGACATAGATTTATCATCATTAGTACGAATCATGATTGATTTTTCCCCTGAATTATTTAAACTCATCGTTTGAATTTGAAGTTAATTTCCACACACAACTACACTGATTCTGCCAACTGCTGTACCATTTTAATGAATAATGCTATTGCAGTTCATCAGTCAAGGCGGGCTTCAGCTGCTCTATCACATCATGAATAATCTTATTGAAGCAATACGTCTGCCGGAGAACCGTGATCGCGAGGAGGAATTCGTTTTGCAGCTCTACGATAGCGTTAAATGCTTGAAATCTGTCGTCAACACTTGGGTGAGATGAAGTGATATTTCGCAGTTTACAAGAATTGGATTTATTTCTTGTATTTCTGGATTTAGAAAGAAGTGGATTAAAAGGGGCTTAAAAGGCAAGAAGTGGATTAAAAAAATGGATTTATTTCTTCTGGTGAGGTAAATTTACTGCGACAGTAGGGCTTCACTGTAATGGAAAGTTATAATAAGAAGGAATGAAATAAACAGAAGAATGGAAAAAGACGGTAAGAAACGAAAATTAAAAAATTTGTAAGAAAATTAGTAAACCATACTAGAAAGTATCCGATTGTAGTACTTTATCGTCGTCGGAAACTCGCCTTAGTCCCTTTGCTAAGGAGAAGAAAATAAGTGATACGCTGACATTTATCGAGTGCAAAACATGGCTTCACTGCTAGTTTGGCTTCTGGCAGCTTATCCCTGATTCTTATGGCGTTTCGGACGCGAAATATTCGTTACTGCTGATGATTTTACCCGCATTTTAGCCCGGCATGGAAATGTGCTTCAAACGGGACTCAAAGATGTTCTCGTGCTTGGTTGGCGCGCTGTCGATATGTTCCGGGAAGCCACCGAGCGATCACTGGGACGCACTAAAATTTGTTACATTGAGCCTTCTCAGTGTGGTGGCATTCGTGAACGACGACAAATACGAACTTAAAGGGTTTGTATTTTTGCCAAAACTCCTTATTTTGGAGTAAAAAATTCACGTGGCTGTTTTATCTCCTTTTGGGGGTTTTTTTTAGAATTTTTCTGTACCTCTCGAGTTTTCCTCACTTTTTTCGTGTCTTTTTTCTTTTTTTTTTTTACAATTTTTCCCGCATTTTATATATTTTATTGAGAACTCGGCACATTTTCTAAAATTTTTATTCTTCTAGCTTTTTAAAATGTTTGATTACGCATGTTTTTTTTATTATTTTGTCTGTTACTTTGATATTTTTTCTGTTGTTTCAACGTGATGTTTTAGCATTGTCACAGCATCTGGTAGCTTCTCCATTCTTCTGAGTTCGAAGTTCACTTCTTGTTAAATTTCAGGCGTGAAACTTTACTGCAAGAGTTGACAAAGGAAGGCGAAAAGCGGAAATGCACCCGATTTCGATGCATCGTCAATTGCCTTGATAAATCCAATAGGCTGGATGTTGTGGTCAGTTTATTATCTGCTTTTTTGCTTTAGTATCTCGTTATTTTTTATTTTTTGGGGGGTTTTTTAGCACTGATGCATTCAAAAAAGCATTTTGTTCTTTTGGCATCATCAGTTCCATTTCTAGC